GATTCAATCATACAGAGTTGCTTAGGTGATTAAGAGAAAGCAATTATGCATTTTTAAACCATGTCAGCTAAAACATAACAATTTTCTAATCTCTATGGCTTAATTTTAAAAATAAAAAAGCTGGGGCCAGAAGGTAGTGTAGTGGTTAAGGCACTGGACTCCCACATGGCTGACCGCAGTTCAAGTCCTGGACATGGAGGCTTAAAAATTGTGCCAGATGCGCGTGTGTGCATGCCCAAAATCCCAAAAGGAGAATGGAGAAAGGATTGCAGTGTGACCATCCCCACTGGGGGGTGATTTCTCACTTTCTCTCTTTTTCTATCTGTCTCTCCAGTGAGTGCATGAGCCCAATAGCAAAAACCTCTCTAAAGAAAATAAAATAGAAAAAGCTTATCGTGGACTTTTTTGTAGAGTGTCTATTGCATCCGATGGAGGAGTGTCTTCTCTCTTCTTGAGAGGATATTGCGATGTGGCCTTGCTCTGTGTTCTCTAGGGCAGGTAAGAAGAAGCACCTGAGAACAGGTTCTGAAATGTGAGGGTGATGTTAGCCGGGTACTCCCTTGAGACACCAGTTCATACTAGCTCCCTCAAACCGTCAGGGCCTGTCACAGAGAACCAGAACCAGAACCAGCAAGAATCAGTGCTTTGGTGGCATAGATCCAAGGGAGATAAATGACTCTCATTTTGTTTTTAGGAACAGTTTCCTTCACTGAAATTTCTGATAAAACTGCAAAGAAAAGACACACTGTCTTCCACTCTAGAACATAGATGATTAAACGGAAAAGTAGCCTGTAGCTGAGGCATAGCTTCCATTGAGTTACAGATTGAAAAGGGTAATTTTTTTTTTTACCCAGCTTTGCAAATAAGTAAGTTATAAAAGTGAACAAATCCATTAAAAAAATGTAAACATGAATTTGACTTCCTAATGTGAAATTACCTGCACTTCTGTATTTTTCTCCTATAAGTTCTCCTCATGGTTATTCATGTGTGAATGGCTGTTTGCCATTTTTTTTTTTTTTTGAATTTAAGAGGCGAGAACTCCTACCTATGGAAAGTTTTCCATGTACCAGAGAGAGTATGTGGTGCTTTTTGTGTGCAATCACTTTGAATTACAAGACTGTAAAAGATATTTTCATATGGAAATAATTTTATAATAGTTTTAGTAACTTTCCTCAAGTCACAGAATGTTATTGACAACCAGGGTTAGGATCTACTTCTGTATTGGAAGCTTATTTACTTTCTGTTATATTATGTTGTGCTCCAAGGGCACTTTAAGTGTGTCTGAAAGTCATAAGTGGTTCATGAATTCTTTTTTTTGGAGGTGGTGGTGGAGGATTTTGCTATAGGGCGCATGCGCTCGCCAGACAGGCAGAGAGAGGCAGAGAGACAGAAAGCAAGAAATCACCCCCCAGGGGGGATGGCCACACCGCAATCCCTTCTCCTCCATTCTCCTCTCGGGATCCTGGGCACGCATGCACACACGCCCGACATGAGTTTTAAGTCACCGGGTCTGGGATGCAAACCGCGGTCAACCACATGGGAGTCCAGCAACATAGCCATTATGCTAACTGCTGGTCCTGGAAGGACTGGGTCTTTTTAGATTCCAAAATCTAGTACATCTGGCACATAGCAGATCATCCATAGTACCTGTTTAATTGATATGTAACTGCTCACATAGACTTGACCTGTTTGCCTATGTTTTAGCTAGGTTCTCACGTGCATTCTAAGCCACATCTGACCTATATTTAGAATACGCCTGGCATCTCCCTTTTGAGTTTTGACTTTACAATATAGAATGTCCACAAATGGAAAAGTGGCTTTGCATTCAGACATGAGGGGACATGAAGGAATCAAAGATTCTGAATACAAATCTTAAGAAAATGAATGTGAGAGAATATATACAAATACCGGGCTGTTTCTGGGCAGCATGGGTGTTATTTTTCTCTTCTATTTCCACACAGACTTAGGAAACCAGTCATCTTGCCTGAAGTGTTCTATTGTTCTTTGTGGCCTTTCAGACTTTTTCACAAATAATTCTTGCACTGAGTCTGCTATGTTTTCACAACTTAAAACATTAGACCTCAGGGGGGAACCAGCAGTTAGCGTAATGGCTATGTCACTGGACTCCCACATAGCCAACCGCGGTTTGCGTCCCAGACCCAGTGGCTTAAAACTCACGCCGGGCGCGTGTGCGTGCGTGCCCAAGATCCCGAGAGGAGAATGGAGGAGAAGGGATTGCGGCGTGACCATCCCCCCTGGGGGGTAATTTCTCGCTTTCTGTCTCTCTGTCTTTCTCTGTCTGTCTGGCGAGCGCACGCGCCCTACAGTGAAAAATCTCTCAAAAAAAAAAAAAATTAGACCTCAGGGGACCAGCAGATGGTGTAATGGTTGCATTGCTGGACTCCCACGTGGTCGACTGTGCTTGGAGTCCTGGACCCAGCGGCTTAAAACTCATGCCAGGAGCTTGTGTGTGTGCGTGCCCAAGATCCCAAGAGAAGCATGAAGGAGAAGGGATTGTGGCATGGCCATCCCCTATGGGGGGTGATTTCTTGCTTTCTGTCTCCCTGTCTCTCTCTCTCTCTGTCCGGTGAGCATAAGAGCCCTGTAGTAAAAATCTCTCTTAAAAACACACACACACACACACACACACACACACACACAAAAATCAGACCTCATTCCCATTCATACGGATTTTGACCAACGTGAATCTGGAAACTGTCAGAACACTATCAGAACTCTGGAGAAATGCAGAGTGGGATAGGCCGTTTCTCTAACATGGCACTAATTGGCAGAGAAAGCGTCACCTTGGGCATACTGCAGCACCCCAGGAAGGAGTCGGGTGGACAATGTTTGTTTCTATGCTCTTTCCTGGAATGTTTTCTCTTCTGAGCAGTGGGTCCTTTTTGTTGAATCCGATTGGCTATCTGGTAACATGTTACCTGGTGAAAAGCAGGATGTTTTCGTATTGTGATATTTTTAAGAAATTATCTTTATTTTTAATTGTTCATCTAGACATGCCAATGGGTATTTAGGCCACGCTTTGAGCAAAACTCACAAGGTGGTTTTTTTCAAACCTCACATGTGTACACAAAACAACACAATTTGAAGAGATTGTTTAAAAGAACAAAGCATGAGAAATACGTGAGATACAAGCTCGTAAGCAAATTTAAATCAATGAGCAGATCCGATTAAACATGAAAAAAAATTACAAAATAAGTCTGTGTTTTGTAGAAAGCACTATCCGAAGACAAGATTGTAGGACACACTCCAGTCTTTTTGTAGGAAGCTGTAAGCAGGGAGAAACAGAGCCTGGTTTTTATTCAGCCTAGCAGGGAGTTGCGGGTAGGTCAGAGTTTCATGAATAGGACCCTGACTATTCACTGCTGCTACTAAAAGGAAAAGCAGGCTTTGCCTGTCAGGCCTGGCAGTGATTATACATATTCTCTCTCAACTTGACCTTTAGCTTGCTAAACATAGCCCTTGGGTTCCTTTTCTCAAGCAATTAAAGAATTAACTTGGTAAATCAATTATTGATGATCCATGAACTAAGAGAAGAAGATTACAGAGATAAAATTCATGGATGATCCAATGGCCGTGTCTTACTTAGTAATCGGATTCCTTCTATTGGAATATCGCAGAGAGCCACAAAAAAAGGAGAAGTTTTCATGTTTTTTCTTTTTGCCAACGAATGAGGAAATCGCCAGTTGAATAAAAGACACAGATGCATTTAAATTATGCATCAAGTCATTTTACTCTAGATTTTTATCGTATCAGTAGCTACTTCAGAGACTTAACCATTGGATATCTAGTAGTTTAATTATTTTTTTTTCTGTGAATTTCTTTCAAGACCTAATTGTAACACAGTCACTTTTGCCTTATAAACTTAGAACTACTAAAAATGCTTCCAATCTTATTTATTTAAATTATCATATAAATTCAAGCAAAATCCATTGTCTATACTCAAGACCGAGGCCCCATTAACAGTAATAGTGTTTTCTTTCTTAGCTCTACTTTCTTTTCTCCAGCAATTGCTTTTCTTGATTTGATATCATATACACTAAAAGTGACTACTCAGAAGCCCTCCCTGCAACCATCAGACCAAAAAGTAAGAGAGGTTTGGAAACAGGAATACGAATACATCCAACTTAGTCTCTTTTGGGGCTGTATTATATAATTTCATAATTATAGAAAAAACCAACAAGGTTGGTGTTATGTTTCCATAACTTCTCTTCATACTCATATCATTCATTTCTACTTATCATCTACCCATTTCATAAGATCTTCACACTTTCTTCAGAACCATCTGACAATCTCTCTTACTTTAATAAAAATATAACCAACTTTCCAAATTTTCTCAACTTCAACTCTGCAAGCCTCAGTCTTTCTATAGAAACTCCCTACAGGCCAGTCAAATTTCTAATATGTAATTTGCAAATCAGAATAAAACAGATCAAACCAGTTGTACCCAGAAAATAAGAGCTAGCTGTCATTGTATCAGCTTGAAAAATGGCTTGACAATAGCAGAAATACTCATTCTCACACTACCAAATTATTTAAAGTAAAAAGAAAGGGGCATCAAAAATTTCAATCTGGGAACCAGCAGTTAGCGTAATGGCTATGTCGCTGGACTCCCACGTAGTCGACCACGGTTCGTGTTCCGGACCTGGTGGCTTAAAACTCACACCGGGCGCGTGTGCGTGCATGTGTGCCCAAGATCCTGAGAGGAGAATGGAGGAGAAGGGATTGCTGCGTGACCATCCCCTCTGGGGGGTGATTTCTCGCTTTCTGTCTCTATGTCTCTCTCTGTCTGTCTGACGAGCGCACACACCCTATAGCAAAAACCTTTCCCAAAAAAAAAAAATTTTAATCGAACATTAGTAATGCTAGAACTTCTAGAGTTTCAACACACAGAGTTTAGCAGATTAGAGAACAATGCTGAAACAAACTGATTTTAAGGGCCAAGTATCTGCAGAAGAAATACAACAAAATTCCAAGATGACTCTGCTAGCTAGAGCTATAATTGACCACAATGACCTGCCTGGAAGGTAAAGCCTGTCATAAAACTGCAATGTTTTCTTTACTTAAATAATATTAACTTCAGCTAAACAGTTGGGCAGCTGTTCACACAAAATTAAGGAAAAAGAAAAATCCAGTTACTATTATCACCAAAGAAATGCGTGCCAACCATAAACCAAAGGTACTTTGGTAGTGTAGCCATAACAGACAAACGTGTGGTATGGGAGCCGGGAACTCCCTGACGGTAAGATGACAGGGTCATAGAAGGTTTTTGAGACCTGCTATGTCTCCTGCGAGGCTGACACACCGCCATGTTCCATAACAAGAGTCGCATAAACACAAGCTTATCAGCTGGCTTGTTAAAACATCGCGGCGTTGAAAAGTGACTTCAGGCTTGCTGAAGGGTCTCATTACTCTGAGGAAACGGTGCTTGGTGCCATAGAATAAACACTATGGTCTCAAGCGGAATGCATGTGAAGTTTCCAAAATGTTTCCTCAAAGACTTTATTCAGTTTTGGTTTGTGACCTTAGCTGGAAAGCATAAAGATGGACATGGGAAGGCAGTTCAGAAAGACATCTGTGAGGATTTAAGTTGGGCAGCTTTCAGAAGATGAAAGATGTTTAAAGTTAAGGCCTTTATCTGCAAACAATAGTATATTAATAAACTCTAGACCATATTTACAAATGCATTCTCGTATTAAAACTAACAGTATTCTGTTCACAGTGCCATTGTTTATACAGGTAGCAATCCCATAATACTCATGTATTTTGGCATGGGAATCAGTAGCGCTTGGTATTTACAGAAAATGTAGGTGTGTGAATATAAACATATCACCGAATTCAGAAAAGACAGATTGGCTACGGGTGCAAAGGAATGAACTGTACAGCACCTTCCCCTCCGGTGGGATGGGAAATGGTTTCTTACATCGAGAAGATGCCAAATCTCGGACCCAAAGTGGCATAAAGTCAGTAAGAAAACAATGAACCCCCTGTTCAAGTTTGGGTACATTGAGTAATCTTAGTCCAAAGTTGTAGATCCATTGTCTAGTGCATAAAATATAAAAGTTAAAAAGATTTATTATTATCTTTATAATAATTATTATTAAAATAGAAGGTACTTTCTCTCAGGCTCTCATCTGTGCTCTTGCACTAAAGACCAATCTCCTCGGAGTTCCGAATATGCTGGTGTTTTTGTCATGCAGATCAGCAGTCAGATGGCAAATGCTCGGCTGAGGAGCCGCTGCCTGTCGCGGTGGGACCCAGGGCCATGGCGGACAGGGCAGCAGCACCTCTTTCTTACTCCCAGTCTTCTTTTGTGTGTTGAGGGGGCGCGCCGTGGAATCAGCTCCCACGTCACCGAATGGAGTCGCTCATGTCGGCAGCTAGTGCTGAGGTGACAAATGGCTTCTGTACACTTGGATAAAGGAGGGGAGGCGGGGAAGTAAGAGGAGGGTGGCATTGAATGGAGGCCCAGGCCCAAACTCAGGGAGTGGGCAGGTGACTGGCAAGCGCCCCCTCTGAGCTTCCGCCTGCTCGGAGGCCTCGCTGCAGGACGGCCTGGTCAGGTCTCAGCACCGGCACTACGGGCGTCGCCTTCGGTCCCCGGCCCCGTCCCTGTCCCTGTCTGCTCGGCGTCCTCCGCCCTGGGGCCGGCGTGGTCCGGGCTGCCGCTGCGCCTGTCCCTGTGCGGCACGGGCACCAGGCGCTTCCACTGGGCCTTGTTGTGCGCGAGATGGCTCAGCATGTTCTCGGACAGGGGGCTGTTTCCGGTGAAGCGGGCCCATTCCCGGAACAGCGGCTCCACGATGTAGCTCATGAACCCTGGAACAGGAAGGCCACACTCGTCACCTCGAGGGCAGTCAGTCCAGCCCGCTCCGTGTCCCTCAGCCGCGGATGAGGACTCAGTCTGGACTGGCCCCAGACGAATAAGATACAGGCACCACCCTTGGCCTAGAAGCCCAAGAAGTGACACCCTAGGCTTCACCCTTAACCACTTTGTGCCTGTTTCTTCCCTTGTAAAAAGGAGCTAAGGGTATCCCAGCCATGGGGTTGTTTTGACAATAACATGACTTGGCGCACGTGAAGTGATTGGAAGGCTCCTGGGACGTAGTAAACACTCAATACATGTTGGCTGTTATTTGCAGAAGGCGGGATATATTTCAAGTAAAAAGGCCAGAAAGAGTCTGTGCTGGGACTAAGGAGGGCACCACCTGAAGAATTCGCTCATTTCTCCTGTAGAATCTATTATTTTACCGTTTTGGTTCCAGTTATGTCAAACAACTATATTTAAGTAACATTCCTTCATTTTCCACACAGATTTTTATCTGCAAAAAAGTCCTGCTTTTGTGACTATGAAAGATTGTATGATATTAGACTTCTTTGTTTGCATGTCTGTTCTCTTAATTATTTAAGTCTTATTTCATGTTTCACTGCTAATGTGCTTTCTATACAAACCTGATCTGTTAAGCAGAAATAATTTTTAAGCTAGGTTGGAACTATAAAAGTCATCGAAAACCTGTACTTTTTAAGGTGTACATTTATTTCCTTAAAGTTTAAATATGGGGAGAAAAGTTCTTTTTGCCGCATTAAAAATTTCTAATAACTAACCCCCTTAAGTTTACAAGCATGTGTAGATAAGGCTTCCTTTGGTCATCTTTCCAAAGGTGGGATCTCTCCATGTTGTGATCTGCTTTTTTCAGCCTCTTGTCTGAACCATGGGCACACACCACCATGCTGGCTGCTTTTTTAGACAGTCTCTCTTTGTTGCCTGGGTTAGTCTAGGGCTTGGGATCTTCCTGTTTCAGCCTCTAGAGTCACTGGGGTTATAGGTAAAAGCCACTGTACCTGGCCTTTACACTGGACTGGGACTTGAACCCAGGCCTCCCATGTGGTCAGCCCATGGAGCTCAGCATCTTAGCAGTGCACCATGTGGTTTGGCTTCTTTCCCCCCTTTGGTTTTGTTTTGTATGTATGGTGTTTTATTCTTAGACAGGGTTTGGCTATGCTGAAATCCTTCTGCCTCAGCCTCCCTGGTAGATGGGATCACAGGTATGCTCTGCTGAGCCTGGCCTTTTCAGGGTGGACCGAGAACCAGCCAGTGGAGCAGCAGTGTCCACCAAGTGCCACTGTGGCTGGGCCTATCCTCTCTTTATTGGGCAAACAACAGACACCAGGCCTTTGAGGACACTCTAGAGATGGCAAAAGGACATATTGTACATTTCTGTATTACCTCTTTTTGTGTGAAATATGATTTGACTATTGTGAGATCATTTTAATTAACTCAAGGAAGAAAATTATGCCTGTTATGTCTGTATTTAGAATTTTGATAAGGTCATATAGGGTGTCAACAAATAAGTATTTCACATTTTTGTTCATTATTCTAGAATTTTCTTCTTTTTTTTCTAATTTTTTTTTGTCATAGGGCATGTTGTGTTCACCAGAGAGAGAGACAGACAGACAGAAAGACAGAGAGAAGGAAAGTGAGAAGTCATTCCTCAGGGGGGATGGCCACACCATAATCCTTTCTCCTCTCTTCTTCTGGTATTTTGGACACACACATGCCCAGTGTGATTTTTAAGCTGTAGGGTCCAGGAGTGGAACTGTGGTTGGCCATATGGGAGTCTAGCTCTTTAACCACTATACCGCCTGCTGGTCCAAATTTTCATCTTTTAACAGTCTCAATACCCAATTCCTTCAAAGAGATCTGATATTAGACATCTAAAAAGATTGTTTGCAAAATGATGCTATTTTATCAAAATATAAAAGAAAATCTAACATTTTAAAATCCAGTACTTAAGAGCCAGTCCTTTGGCATGGTGACTAAGGGAGCCAGATCCCAAATGGCTGACCTTGTGGATCAAATCCCAGACACAGCAGCTTGAAAAACATGCCAGGCACATGAACCTGCATTTGTGCCCAAATGGAAAAATGGAGGCTAAGGGATTGTGGTGTGACCATGCTCCAGTGGAAGTGCTATCTCCCTCCTTCCCCCAACTCTGGTGAGCACATGTGCCTTGTTGGAGAAAACAAACAAACAAACTAAAAACAACTCCAACAATTAAAAGATCAACTGTTGGGGCCAGCAGGTGGTATAGTGGTTAAGGCACTGGACTCCTACATGGTCGACTGTGGTTTGAGACCCAGACTTTGCAACTTGATACTTATGCCAGGCGTGTGTGCATGTGTGCCCAAAATCCCAAGAGGAGAGTGGAGGAGAAGGGAGTGTAGCATGGCTATCTTCACTGGGGAGTGATTTCTCATTTTCCTTCTCTTTGTCTCTCTCCAGTAAGCATATGTGCCCTATAGCAAAAATCTCTTAAATAAATAAAATAACATAAAAAATTAACGATTTTCTTCCAGGAATTACTCTGGAATTATACATTCACACTTAAACTTGTCAGATATAGAGACTTCATATGCTAGAGAGGAAAGTGATTTTTAAGTCTGATAGATACCATAGAACGGATTTCCAGGTAAAGAGGTTTCTACATGATCAGATTAGGGAGTGTGCTGTGTCAGTGAGTGCACTAACTTCTCTCCTTCTCCAGGGAAGAGCTGACTTTGCTGTGGAATTGTTTGCCTGAAGGAGAGGGAGTGGGGAAGTGATGAATGGGGGCTTCAGAGAAGACAAGGATGGAAGGAAAATCTCTTTCTTTTTTTTTTTTTGAGAGGTTTTTCGCTATAGGGTGCGTGCGCTCGCCAGCCAGACAGAGAGAGACATAGAGACAGAAAGCAAGAAATCACCCCCTGGGGGGAATGGTCATGCCGCAATCCCTTCTCTATTCTCCTCTCGGGATCTTGGGCATGCACGCATACGTGCCCGGAGTGAGTTCTAAGCCACCGGGTCCGGGACGCGAACCGCGGTCGACTACGTGGGAATCCAGTGACATAGCCATTACACTAACTGCTGGTTCCCGGAAAATCTCTTTCTCATCCTATAGATTTTAACACTTAAAGACTCACTCAATTCAGTACTTTTTTAAAGAGATTTTTTTTTCTATAGGACACGTGCGCATACAAGAGAGACAGAGAGACAGAAAGCAAGAAATCACCCCCCCACCAGGGGGATTGCCACACTGGAATCCCTTCTCCATTTTCCTCTTGGGATTTCGGGTACACACGCACATGCACCTGGTGTGAGTTTCAAGCCATTGGGTCTGGGACTTGAACCGTGATCAACTATATGGGAGTCCAGCAACGTAATCACACCATCTACTAGTTCCCAGTACTTTCTTTTTAAAATGTACAGTTTGATGGGGAGAAAAAAGAAATGGGGCTGGCTGAGGGGTTACTAAGTCCCAGTTCCATTTGGGTAAATAAAACAATCAGATGCAAACCTCACTGAAACTGGCACTCAGAAAGTTTTCATTTTGGATTGGGACAGGAAAAAGAGAGAGGGCATTTTCAGTGGGGGGACAGAGTCAGGACAGAGGAAATGCTTTCCTTACGATCCACTGAAAAAATCATCTAAGGGGCTAAAGCCTATAGCATTCACTAGACTCTTTTTAGAGGAGGAGACTTTCAAAATTCTATGGAAAAAAGTGGAATTAAAATACGAGTTTATTCTGGTACAAAACATTTTGAAGTTCATGCATAGTTTTTCCATAATACTCTTTTCCCATTAATTTCTTGAAAAACCCCCTCATACTTGAGTTTTCCCAGTTTAGCTGGATCTCCCTTGACCACAGCACTTCCCATCCCCGAACCTGTAAGATGTGGAGTCAGGGAGAAAGATTTATGTCCAAAGAGTTGTTTTATAATCACTTTATTACACATTTATTTTTAATTACTGGTGTGCTGCTGTAGCATCCATGGGTTTCCCTATTCACTCAACCCCCATCCATTTTTAAAAGAGGTATCTATGGTAACCACATTTTCCTGAGCTGAAAATCAGGACATATGATCTGACAAAAGTAAGTGCGTTCTCATGACAACAACAGGACAGAATCTCTGAAATCAGGTCTATCTTGCAAATCCAGGTTGTGGGCTTAACAAAGTGAATGCTTTCGTTTGGGAGGTTTAAGACATTACCAGTTGTCTGCAGGCTTCTTTCTAGCCAGAGCTGAACACTGTGAGTCTCAGGATTAGGATTTTGCTCAGGGTCTAATTTTCAATGACATCTGTAGAACCTCCAGGGCTAAAGCAACTTGATAGGAGTGAACTGGATTCACGGAGGCTGAGGACACATTTCTGTTGCTGGTACTTCCCCCTCTAGCCCTACGGCGATTCTGAACCATCATCTGCCCTGGGTTCTATTTTTTTTGGAATATCTCCTATCTTTTTCACCCCCTTTTCACTCTGCCCCGCTTTTAGGTGTAGGAATTAATTTCATTTTGAAAATGACGAAACAATACTAAAGGCAGTTTGGAAAAAAAGGGTCTCATAACTCTAGCATACCTATTTTTTATTTGTATAATTCTACTCAAATCATTGTAGCTAGATTTATGTTGTCCTTATTTCCGAGGATGATTTTACAACTCTTTTGTGGAATTATGGATTTGACTGGACCCTCATGATTATAAATATATTTTTCTAACTTGCTCTGGTTTTCTCAGTTCTGTTTTTCTTCTCCTTCCCTTTCAATGTCAAGGCATCACATCTTGAGCCTCACAGAGATCCATAGCACTGGAAATGCATTAAACTGTCTGAGGTTTGTGGGAACAGGTTAAGAGATATGATCTGGAGCAAGCCAGGGCTAGAGCTTATAAGGAAAAGAGTTAGAGTTCTGAGTTTGGTTTCAGCGGAAGGGAACTTCAAGGACCAGAAAGGCTTGTTTAAATGTAGATAGAATTGGTGGAGTGTTTTAAGGTATGTTAGACATTCTTACTGGAGCAAAAGTAATTCTCTTTACTAAAGTGCCTAAAATTTCCACAGTTTTATTTGCTCAAGGACCTTATACATAACCTGGTTGGATGAAGTAATAATCATTTTGCATAAGCTAGTATCACACTTCTTCAGTTTCCCAAAACTGATGCTTGAAAGATAGTGTGGTTTTAACAGAATGAGACCGAAAGTAAGTTCTGAAGTGGAGAGAAACATGTACCACAGGCCACCATGGAGTAGAACGGCTCACAGGCCTGAGGCCTGGGGACTGGGCCTTTGGGACTGAGTGTTAGGGATGAGGGGTAGTTTGGAAGGGGCCTAACGACTGATTCTGCTGACCTCCCGTCCTTCAAGCCCTGAAGTGAGTGTGAATAGTTGATTCTTATTACTTTTGTCCTGCACTATTTCATTTTGATTCTGTTCTAAATACAATAGTTGGTAATATAGGTTTAGGGAAGTGTTGATGACAGAATATCTATCCTGTTTTTTGTTAGTTTTCAGTTGATAATTAGTCATGATTAAAGTGTTTATTTTGGACTCAGCCATTCAAAGAGACTTTGATTTAGCTTTCCAGGGCCAAGATTGAAAAGCATGAGGATCTCTTCCTTGTGACTCCTGTCAGAGATGCCAGAACTACTCACTTAAAATTGACATTGAATTCAACTCACCGATTTGTATACTAGGGATTGAATCTTTTTGTTGGTTACAAAGAGGACTGATTTCCAGTTCAAATTTCTGCTCAAGGTCACCTAAGAAGAAAGAAGAAACACGTTGACAGTCTAGAATTTATAAAATGAGTGTCAATAGTTTTAATAGTTTTCCTTGGAAGAAGTTATTCTGGGAATTACTGCTCCTGACCTTGTTATCATCGAAACATTTTAGCACTGACTGGCACTGCCTTGCTCTGGAAGCTTCCATGAAAATGTAAAATGCCAGAGTGTCAATGACCATTTATAATAGGCTCATTGTAAATAGAGGTGCTTTGGGACCAGAATGAACTTTTAAACAATGTCTATAAAAACAAAAAACAATTACAGGCAGTTTCCTAATGTAAAATGGAAGTTTTAGCTTTAAATTGCAGATTAGGAAAACAGGTTTTTTTTTCCTTCCTTTCCCT